AATGCAGTAAATATCACTGAGTTTAAACGGCATTTAAAATTGCAAATTTTATGTTGTGTATATTTTAATATAATTAAACCAATAAATGGGGGAAAAATATGAGACTTAAGTTCCCCATCCAGGGTTACATGGTAGCAACTGGATTCAGAAGAAGGTCCATCTGACATCAAACTGGACCTCTTTCAGAAACCCTGCATTGGGAGGTTAAAGATGATTGGGGGGGTTCAGAAAGTGTTCATTCATGGAGAGCTGCCTGTCCTGTCCCCGCTGCCTGAACTTCAGCGAGGCCTGGCTTCATTTCATCTCTGGGGACAGCTCTGCTCTGGAGCACACAGTGGACTGGTTCTCAAGTGCTGGTTCTGCTACTTGCTGTTGTTCGACCTTAGCCAAGACTTCTCAGGGCCTCAGCTTGCCTGTGTGATGTGACACCTGGGGGTTATGACAGTCTTTGCTTGAGGGCTGTTCAGAGAAAGCTGGGGCTTGCTTTGGAGAGGCTGGGAAGGTGGAGGAGGGCAGGGCTGGAGGAAGCAGAGGCTGCCTGGAGAGCATTGTGATGTGCTCTTGGAAGAAGAGACTGGTGCTCAGCCACTGATGACAGAGCCCCAAAGAAGGATATTCTAAGAGAAAAGAAAAACCCAATGAAATAGGACAGTTATTTACCAAGTGGTTAGGTTGGGAAGAGAGAGAAACCTGCCTCTTCCTAGGGTAAACCTAGGGAGACTATTGAGAGGCCTTCAATGGAATGAGAACTGAACTCAGAGGAAGTGGCTTGCTTGTTGCAGAATCCAGAGGGAAGAGATGGAAGTGTATGTCAAGTAATGCCTGTGAGCAGAAAGAAAATGGGTGGGTGAATCATGGACCTGGTCACCGGATAGACATTGGGAAGAGGTGGGATCTGTCATGAAGATGCCTAGGGCATGTGAGGTCAGCCGGACAGGACAGGATAAACTTCATAAATGTCATGCAGACATTGGAATACAGGCAATGCCTTCCTCTTTCTGCTGGGTAAATGTTCACTCCTCGGGGTTTGGTCCTTGTCTCTCTGCAGATACACTCCCTCCCTGGGTATGCTCATGATTGCCGGGTGCATCTACCAGAATTTTACAGGTTGATGGCTGCTAAATGTTTCTGTCTTCAACTGAAACTACTTCCATGAGACAGGACACCTCTAGCCTGCTAGCTCCTTAACCTCAGCTAGTCCACCATCAAGGACATCCTAGACCCTGCCTATATCAACACTTTGTCCTTCTGTTCCCCATTCACATGACCAGTATCCCCAACCCTCAGTTGCTTAAACCTGAAACCTGGCCATCAGCCTTGATCCATCCCTCTCTTCCTCTGGTGGGTTTACCTAGTGGGTCTGTTCTCCTGAATGTTCTTTGTGTCCAACCCTTCTCTGCCTCACGCAGGTGAGCCCTACTCCAGGCTATGGCCACCTCCTGACTGGACTTAGCTTCCTGTCGGGTCCTATTGAAATCCACTTCCTGCATGATAACCAGTGTGCTCTTTCTAAGGAGCAGGACAACTCCGCCTCAGCCTGTTCATAGGTCTTCTGTGGCTGCCTCCTTTCTTCGGGATAAAGGGATCTCTCCGGAGTCTCGCTGGACCTCCTTTGTGCTGTCTAACCTTTCCCAATAGTGATTTTGTGTTCTCAACATCCCTAGCTGTCAAGCTCCATATGGATACATACTGTCGCCTTGGTCAGCTGTTCCCACTCCTTCTGTCAAACTAGTAAACTCCAACCCATCTTTCCAAGTTTCAGCTCAGATCCTACCTCTCCTGGGAAGCCTTTTCGGCCTTTGCCAAGTGCTTCTCTGTGTCCCTACCACTCGGGACACTAGCCCTCTCCTCCTGCTCTCATGAGATCCAGGATGCCCACTGATTGACTGATTCACTCACTTACTCACTCACTCGTGGGTTCTGTATGTGTGGGAGCTGATGCTGGAAATACAATGGCTAGCTCAAAACTGTGGTTCCTGACCCAAGAGAAAATGATGACTGTGACTATTGGCCTGTCTGATCAATGAGCCTTTGTTGAATGACTGATGACCTTGTTCTGCTGGGCCTCCCAAGCCTTTGCTCTTGCTGTTCCTTCTTCCTGGAACTCTCTCTCTAGTCTCCTTTTCTGGGTCAGATTATCTAGAATCTGATGGCTTCTGGCTCATCCTTCTCTAGTTCTTCCCCTGAATTTACTGTCTCACTAGCATTGATCACTATGGAAATGGTCTTGCCTATTCACTTATAAGTCTGTGCTTCTCATTAGAATGCAATCTCCCAGGAGCAGGGACCTTGCTTGTCTTATGGTGCACAGAGTCCTGGGGACTAGTACAAAGCCTGTCACATATAAGGAGTTCAATCATGTTTGATAAAGGAATGGATAGAGTTTTTAGAAGAGGAAACAGAAAAAGAGAAGAGAGGGACTGGTACTGAGCTTGGAATAATTTAATTATAGACCCAATAACAACAACCGAGGGAATTACAGTTATGGGATGCAGAGTAGAAGTTGAAGGACAATAACACAACAAATAGAGGAGATAAAATAAAGGGAGGGGGGAAAGTGTGCTAAAGTTACAGCCGGAGTTGCCTGCTCTCTAAAATGGAAAGCCAACACATGAAACACCACTCCTGCAGTTTTTTTTTTAATTTATATTTTAGTGGTAGTTGGACAATTTATTTTATTTAATTATTTTTATGTGGTGCTGAGGATTGAACCCAGGGCCTCCCACGTGCTAGGTGAGCATTCTCCAGCTGAGCCACAATCCCAGCCCTAAAGACTATTTCTACGTTTTTTTTTTTTTGGTGCTGGGGATTGAACCCAGGGCCTTGTGCATGCGAGGCAAGCGCTCTACCAACTGAGCTACATCCCCAGCTCTCTTGCAGTCATTTTTTGCTTTTTCATCTTTACTTTTCCGAACCTTTGTAGGATTATTTAGGAAAGAAAAGTATATATCATCTGGGTAAAGATGTTTAAAATTTAACAATTGTTTGGCTTCATGTTAGTCTACTTTTCTTCTATTAACAAAAATTAAGTGGTAGAGTGCTCGCCTAGCATGTGTGACCCACACCCCTCCCCCACCCTGGGGGAGATCCCCAGCAACAAAAAAAACGAAAACAAAAACAAACATACCAAAACCCCAGAAAATTAAAGACTTTAAATTAAAAATAGCAACTATGGGTAAATGACATTGCAAAATAATTTTATTACATTGTAAAATACATTTATTTTTTTCTATTGATCTGTCAACCCTACATCCATTCATATATCAATGTCTATATCTACCTGTCTAGAAAGATGTCTAGGATTTATTAACATTCATGAGTTATTTCTGACTAGTAAAATTTATTTTTTATGTATTTTTCCCTATTGTTTAATTTTTTTCCTTTTTTTTTAATACGATGCACATATGTATTGCATCACTTTGGCAAGAAGAAAAATGACTTAAAAAATTGGATGCAGATATACCAAAATATTTGTTCTGGGTGTAGGGATATTAAAATATTTTCTTCTGTGAATTTTTTACTGGAGGGGGGTGTGGCTCAGCAGTAGAGTGCTGGCCTAGCACTGTGCGAGGCCCTGGGGTCGATCCTCAGCACCACATAAAAATAAATAAATGAAATAAAAAGGTATTGTGTGCAACTGCAACTAAAAATAAGTATTAAAAAATTAAATTTTTTTAGTGAAAAAATATTTAAAATTTTAAAAAAGGAACTTTTAAAAAGAAGAAGAAAAGAATATACAATTAACGTAACAGAGACCCAGACAAAGCAATCAAGGTCAAGGTCAAAGTTGAATGAGTCTCCTAGAAGACATGTTTTTGAGTCAAAAGGGCTTTTCTGCGCAGACAATGATCCAGAAGTACCAGGTGCTTAGCGTCTGTAGACACCCTTCAGGGAGCCTAGTTGAGTCTGTCATTGGAAACTGGGCCTCTCAGGAGGAGGTTAGCTCCCTAAGGTCTGGGTTCCTAGAAAGTTTAAGCTGTGAAAGCAATCAGTTCTGTTTCTACAGACTCAGAGGTTTGTGGTCATCTTCTCTCACTATTTTGGAAGGTAGAGGCCAACTGTAATTCTGAGACCTGTCCAGGCTCTTTGCAAAGAGCTGAAACAAAGCAGGTGCTCCGTGATTCTAAATAAAGACGAGAAACAGGCGGCACAGGGCCCTCAGCTGAAGGCTGCTTTTCTCCTTCAAGAGAGAAATATTCGCTTCGCGAAGATGCAGTTGGAAGAGGAGCAACTGAATCCGGCACCGAGGGACGGAGGAGATCAGACCCGATGGGGCGCTCAAAATGACAGTGGATGTAGTGTCCTGGGCGGAGAAGAGAGGGGCCACCTTCTTTTTCATAATCCTGAAAGCACCTGTGTGTGTCCAACTTTTCACCGGCCCGTGTCTTCTTTCTGTAGGGTCTGTGTTGGTCTCATCTTTCACACCTCCGCGCATCTTACCAGGCGGCCTGGCTCCGTGTCAGTGCGCATAAATGTCGAACCAAACGGAGGTAGTTTCTCGCGTGTGTCTAGTATTGCATTTTTATGGAGAAAACGAGACACTCGCATCCCAGGCGGGAGGCCAGTGCCCTTCCTTTGGAGGGATTATTGGGCATTCAAGGGGCTAGTTTAATACAGTGTGGGTCTGCCTGGAGTGGAGGGGGAGTTACGGAGACAGCTGGACTTTTGCACAGATTTGCAATTTAGGCCCCCGGGAGAGTGGCAGACGTCAGAGGAGGCGGGAAGATGTGTGTGTCCCTCTCACCAGGTCCACAGATGCTGGGTGGTACCCATTCAGACCACTGGAGATGGAGCTGACCCGGGGGTCTTCTGTGGGAACTGCATCATTTCGGAGCATCTTGATCCTTGTAATTCACTGAACTCTATTTCCCCATCTGCAAAGTGGGAGGACTCCTTGCCTCCAGAACGCTGGGGGAGGGGGTGGTGGGGAGGCGGGCATAGAGCAACTGCGGGAAGCTCAACGCGCACGCTAGCTGGCATCACTGCTGCGTGCTTATGGGCTGCGGGGTGGGTGGTGAGACTGCGCCAGCGCCGCCAGGACCCCCAACATAGAGCGCGGAGCTCGCTCTCCCCCACGCCATCTGGGCCCTCTGCAATCGCGGTGTCCCAGGCCCGCCCCGCCTCGTGCGCGGCCCTCCCTGGCTCTGTGCCCAGCACTGCCCAGGCAGCGGACAGAGGGGCGCATGGGACAGCGGCCTGGGGCCGGGGATTGCCGGGCACGCGGGGATCCGGGACGCACGCGGCGGACCCGGAGGCGAGCTCTTCCCCCTCCCCCGCGGCCGGGAGCTCGAGCCGCCGTGACGTCACGGGCCACCCGCCAGCCCTGAGCTCCGCCGGGCAGAGCGCGTGCGGCCGCCGAGCACATGGGCCCACGGGCCGGGCGGGCTGGGGGCGACCGGGAAGAGGAGGAGCAGTCAGGAGCCGCGAGCAAGGATGGACACCCGTACCTCCCGGAGCCCCCCAGTGGATTTTCACGCGGAAAGGATGTTGGCCCGTCCTGGTGACCCGTGGGACAAGGCTGGATCCACCCTCCAGTAAGTTCCAATTTGTCCTCTGCGTTTCTGGAAACTCGAGCCTTGCTTGGCATTGCGGGTAGGGATGCGCAGTGAGTAGTTGAGTGGAGGAAAGGGGCTTTCCGATTCCTGTGTGTGTGTATTAACCGTGCACTTTCCTCATCCCGGGACCCAAGACTGGCAGCGAGTTTGGGCTTGGGGAGGGGGAGGGGAGAGGTGACACCGAGTGGCTCGTGCCTAGAGGTAATTCTGGATTTATGCACTTGATCAAAGGCTCATAACCTAATCTCTAAAAATAGACCCCTCTCCAGTAGCACAGATTTGGGGCCGCTGATGTGGTTTGGAGGCCCCATTTGCAAAACTAGAGGTCTGTGAACTGTATGATGCTCCCTCCATCCTTTGACCGGTCCTCCCTCCCACTCCCAGACACCCCCTCAGGGCTGAGTGAAGGTGATTTCGAAAACTCAATAACTGTGTTTTGAAACTTTCTCTGCTTTTGCACTGGCCTTCCTGGGTGTGCTGGGTGCCCTGGCACTCTCCTCATGGTCATTCTTTATGGATGGGTTGTTGATTTGATTAGGTTTGCCTTCCCTTGGCTCCTGTGCTCTTGTTTGTGTCAGTGTTTGTGGTCTGCTGTAGACTTTCAGGAAGCGCAGCCATGAAGCTGCATGTGCTTGGCGTGTGGATACATTTTTGCAGGAGTGGAATATTCTGTTAAGAGTTCTTGGGCTGGGGATGTGCTCAAGGGGTAGCGTGCTCGCCTGGCATGCGTGCAGCCCGGGTTCGATCCTCAACACCACATACCAACAAAGATGTTGTGTCCGCCGAGAACTAAAAAATAAATATTAAAAATTAAAAAAAAAAAAGAGTTCTGACTTCAGGACATTCTGCATTCACTTGTGAGGAGTAGGGACAGGATAGTGGTTTTTTTTGTGTGTTTCTTTTCCATGCTTGTATTTTCCAAGTCCCCTCTCACCGACTCCCCCACTGTCAATCCCACTAGGGGAGACCCTGGAGAAGCTTGTTTGTGTGGTGGGTGGGTGGGGGCCCTGAGGAGGCAGGGACTGTATCTGTTGAACCATGTTATAGGATGTTGCAGGCCTATTTTGCATATGGGCTGTGGCAAGTCGAGGCTTGTTCAGTTGCCACAGTCCTGTGGTCACAGTTAGTCTTTCTGAAGCTCTAATCAGCCGAGAAGGAGTTGCATCGATCCTGGGAACCCGATTGGGACTTACTGAAAGATTTATCAGGAGAAAAGCCTTCGTGAAAGCTGAAGAAGGACCAACAGAATCCATTCCTAGGGAAAACCTAGCTCTCTCAGCTATTTGAAATGAGTTACATCTTGGAGGTGAGAATGTGCCTCGTGGTGTGGGGCGCTGGCAGGAGGACCCAAAGAATTCCACTTATGGGTCTGGTGACAGAAAGGCTGGGTGGGACCATCGTGGGCTGTAGTGCTGGATCAGCTGACCTGGAGGTGACTTGTTATGTGATTGCATTGATTTTTGTCTTTTTTTTTTTTCCTGGTTAAGAGTGGATTCTTGTTGCTTTACCTGCCTTAAGTGCAGAATTTTACGTAAGCTGGCTCTCTTGAAAAGTAGAAGTAATCATCTTTTTTTGATTGATTTTCCTCTCTCATCTCCCTGTCCCCCACCCCCCCCACCCCATTTCTATAGCTGTAGCTTTGCAGGGCAGGAAAGAGGGAATTTTTTCTAGGTTCTCAGGAATCTGGTTTGTGTGATTGCTGGACTAAAAACCTGGTGAATTGTCACCATCTGCATCAAATCATTCCTTGGTTCTTGAGTTTAGTTTTTTCTTTTCCCTGCATGGCAGGCCGGCAGGCAGGCAGCCATACTTGCTGAGTCCGGCAGTGTGTGTTTGCCATGCCCAGGGACTCTGCCTGCCCAAGAAGGACACTGTCCTTGGACAGCTCAGCAAAGGAATCTCCTGGACCATAGACACCCACTTTTCTTCCTCTGTGACAGTAGCCCTGAGTTTGCTCAGACCAAGGGCAGATGGTGATGGTTTTCCTGGGGAAGCCGAGTACTGGGTGCTGGTTCTTTGGAGGTGGTGCGGGCCTGCTAATGGTTGTACTTCCCTGTGCTGTAGATGCTATGGGGCTTTTTCTTTTGTATTTCCATTCCTCGTGGTTGTGGACATGATATTCTTTTTTTTTTTTTAATATTTATTTTTTAGGTTTTTTTTAGTTTTTATTTCATTTTTATGTGGTGCTGAGAATCGAACCCAGTGCCTCATGCACTTGAGCCACATTCCCCAGCCCAACATGATATTCTCTATGTCTTTTCCCTGATGCCAGTTTGTGATCTCATTAAGAGGCTCGACCTTCCCTGTCTATACCCTATGTCTGTCATGGGACCCTGACCCAAAGAGGGAGCCAAGCAACAATCTGAAATAAGATTAGCTACTGAAGAGTCCCCTTGACAGTCACATCGACATCTTTCCTAGGAAAAAAATCTCAGAAATTCCAGGCCTTATGCACACTGCCAAGTGAGCTCTTTAGTTGGAGCCTCCTCTGTTTCTTTTGTTTTTCTGGCACCAAATAATCGAAATAACTAGAAAGAGTAATAAGAAGAATTAATAATAACAACAATAGTAGCACAGGTGGTGACTGAAATCGTTGATCATGCGTAGCCCTCTCTTCACATTTACTTTCCCCATAACCTCACAAGGCACTTATAAATAAAATAAAATATCCAGCAATGACCGAGTTCTTTTGGTAGGCCAGACTTGAATCTAAATGCTTTACAGATATTCTCACTTAATCTCCCAGTAATCCTGTAAGATAGTATTATTATTATTATTTTAAATATTTTTAGTTGTAGATGTACGCAACACCTTTTATGTATTTATTTGGTGCTGAGATTCAAACCCAGCGCCTCACACGTGCTAGGCAAGCACTGTACCACTGAGTCACAACCCCAGCCCAAGATAGGATGATTATTATTTGGAATGGCTCAGGGGTTGAGTGTTGCCCCAGGCCACATGGCCAGGTATCTATGGAGCTGATTTGAACAGGGCCACGTGACTCCCAGGCCCATTCTCAGAAGCCAGAGGATGGTGAATTTTTTTTTAAATCTTTATTTTGTTTATTTATTTTTATATAGTGCTGAGGATTGAATCCAGTGCCTCATAGGTGCGAGGCAGGCGCTCTCCCACTGAGCCACAATCCCAGCCCGAAGATGGTGAATTTAAGGACAGAGGATGTTAATTGGCCTTGAGCAGGGTGTCAGAACCTGTCCACCTGGATTGGGCTTAGGTGGAAACCTTAGCCCCTTGCATGAAGAAGATACCATTTGCTCGTTCTTACTGTCGGTTTGTGGAGCAGGCTGAGATGAACAGAGGGGCCAAGAGGCCTTGAGTGATCTACAGTGCTGGGAGAGTCCTGTGCTGTGGTGTAGAAGGGTCCCTTTTGGGCCTGGGCAGGAGCCTTGTGTGGATAGAGGTCAGAAGCCTCAGTCTTAGTGCAAAAATCTATGATCATTTGCAAAAGACTACGTCCAGACGTCCTGCTTGGCTTCATGACCAAAACCCTTCAAGGACTGTTTTCAGAATTTAATTACTATCATCTCTCACAGCAGATGGGAGATAGAGCTCTTTTGCCATGATACTACCCCCGCTTGCAAACTGTTCTGAGCATCCACTTGTACACTGGGGGTGTTTATGTCCTATAGAGACCCTTGGTGGCCCTCCTCAAGCCCTGTCATTAAGAACAAAAAGAGTAGCGAAGTGTGGTGGTGCCCTCCTGAAGTCTCAGCTACTCCTGAGAATGAGGTGGGAGGATCCCTTGAGCCCAGGAGTCAAGGTCAACCTGGAAACATGGTGGTGCCCTGTCTCAAAAACAAAAACTAGAACGACAAGATTGGTTCGTAAGGCAAGACTTAAATATATGATGCCAAAATGGTCTCATTCTTTTTGTGTGTGTGAGTGCACACGTGCACACGTGCTCTGGGGATCAAACCCAGGGTATGGTAAGTGGTCTACCCCTGAGCCACACCTGTGGGCCAAGATGTCATTCATCTTTTTTTTTTTTTTTTTGGCTCCCGGGATTGAACCCAGAAGTGCTTAATCACTGAGCCATATTCCCAGCCCTTTATTAATATCTTATTTAGAGACTGAGTCTCCCTGATTCGCTTAGGGCCTCTCTAGGTTGCTGAGGCTGGCTCTGAACTCCTGATTCTCCTGCCTCAGCCTCCCGAGCTGCTTGGATTACAGGCGTGCGCCACCGCACCTGGCTCATTTTTTAATTATAGGATTCTTGAGTTGTTCTTTTTTCCTCTCGCCTATTTATTTATTTGTTTATTTATTTATTTGAGGTTGGGGTGGGGTTGAAGTGTTGTTTTTTGTTTACCTGCCTCTTTTTTGACATTGACCCTGAACTTGAGGACAGGGGCACCTGGTGCCTACATAGCTGTGGTGTTTGTTGAATCAGGTAGCTGACAAGATCTGCTTCATCTTCAAAGAAACAAGCAGCCGGTGTGTCCACTGTCCTTGTCTTTTTAGGTGTGAAGCAGCTGACATGGTGGGAAGTTGGGGCTTGCCCGCAGGGAAAGAAAAAGAGGCAATCTAGACAGCAGTGGGGACATCCAAGCCGAGGAGACTGAGTATGGACCCGGGTTACTTATGAGCAAACTTCCCCTTGGTCTCCTGGCTGTAAAATGGGGCTGATAAAGCAGCAACCTCACAGGCTGCTCTGAGGAGGAAATCAGTGGTAAGCAGAAGGCAATCAGCAGAGGGCCTGGGGCGTACCCAGCACTCAGTAAAAGTGAGCAAATATTATTCCTGCCACAATTATTGAGTTTCATTACTTCCTGTGGCTTCATAAAGCAATGGTTTCTGAACACGTCTTAATGTACAAAGGTAATGTTCTGGACATAGAACATAGATCATGAGATGGCAGTGACTTCCCCAGAATTCTTTGCATGTATCAGAAAGAAGCCCTGGCCGATAGAAGCTAGGAAGGGAAGAAGGCCAGTCAGCTGCAGGAGTGGGTCTCAGGAAACACA